GCCACAGTGCCTCTAATGTTTGCCACGTTCAGACTGAACAGCAGGACAAGAGCCTGCCTCGCAGCCGCTCCATTTCTCACCTCCAGAGAGAAAGGGCTCTGGAAACGCCTTCCCTGTCCTGTGTTATACTCGGATAAACAAACCTGAGTGCAGTGCTGGTTGAGAAACAGTTTTTAAGAAAACAGCTTTTAATTCCTAGGCTTTCGGTCTCAGCTTTTTTCAGTGGGGTGGCAGGAGCCAGCTTGCCAGTTGAAAGCTTGAAATCAGCCATGAGGGAAGTTTTTGCACCATGGAAATCACCAAATGCGACAAATCAGGACAATTTTTTCCCTTAGAGAGCTGTTTTCCAGCATTCCACAGAGTGATTTTTCTAACTCATCCCTTTCTCCCCAAGACTCGGGCATGTGACCGCAGAAATGGGAAAATAATTGCACTGACAGGGTGATTCATTTTTCCCATCCTGACTCTGCATATTAGGCCTAAATCTCTTTCCTTGGGGGCCTCCCTTCTCAGGAGACTTCTAGATTCTTAAAACAGAATCCATGTGGCTCAGCAAAAGTTCCAGATCCTTTCCACCCCACACATGGAGTTAACACAGTTTGGGTTGTAAATCTGATAGCACTGCTAGGCTCTTGGTTTCCTCAGGGAGATACTTACAGGGACTTTTTTGTGTATACTCGCATTCCCAAGCACATATCTTTCCATTTTCCACACATGCCTCAAAAAAAAGAGGAAAAGAAAACGGAAAAAAATCCCTCATAATTTGGGATCTCAGTCTAGGATAACCAACTAGCCGCACACTTTCATTATTAACTGCAATGAACCATTTACCAACCTCCTAATTGCTGTCTCCTTGACCGCCTTCCATTTCCCACACCCCTTAGGTCAGGGCAACTGAAAGGATGAAGAAATCATTTTAGTACTTGGGTACAAAAATACTTTAGTACTGGAGAAGAAATAACCAGAAGCACGATAATTTTGTAGAAGAAGGACTTGACATAGCTTAGTTCTTTTGATGTGTTCAATGGGCTTTATATCTTATAACATGCCTTGAGGTATTGCAGAAGAGCTAAAATGTTTTTTCTTAAGTTAAGCTAATTAAAACCTTTAGAAATTCAATGTTCCAATTTTTATGACCTCAGTTAAATGCCTTAATTGTATTATGTCACTCTTGCAAATGAATTACTCTTTAAAATGAATTACACTCCAAAGTATTATAGTTACAAATTTATTATGAAACTTACCGACTATAGCAACGTAATAGGGTTACTAAAATTAAGGTTAATGAGAAGAATCACCAAGGTTTCTGCAATTTCCTTCTCCTTTTTAAAAATAGTCATGATAATTTCCACTGTTTACTTTAGATGGACTGCATAGTACAAAGGAATCTCATGCTTCTCCCCAAAGGCAGGTAGTTGAAATCTGGGCACTTGACTATATTAACCGGTACACTGCAGGGGGCACCCATTCTTATAACCTACCATTCCCGTAATGATCAGCATCTTCCAAAAATAAAAATCAGTGTTACCAATGATATTTTGGTAGGACTTTATGTTTTTGACAGATTTATTAAACAGCCTCTCCATGCGAGGCACTGTGCTATGACAGGGATGAAGTGATAAATGAGACCCTCCTGGTCCTCAAGGGGCTCCTGCCTTGGCGAAGGTGTGGAGACATGATCAGATGGCTACAATACAGCGTGTGAGGACCAAGGCCAGCAAATGCGCAGCATAGATCCCAGGCCAGAGACGGGGCACTAATCTACCAGGGACAGAAAGTTGACCAACATCTGTGCAAAATTACTTCAGCCACTGTTTAACTTGGCTCAAAGCTCTTTCCACACCCTGTAAAAAGAGCAGGTGTAGATGAAAGATGCACTCTCATTGTCAAAGGCTAGTCGCCCCCTCCTATTCCCATGCTCCTCAGGGTTGGTGCCATCACCACTGAGGACCTGATTGGAGCCCCTTCAATATTTGGAGCTGAGGCAAAAGAGACTATCTAGCTTGTGTTCAAATGGCCCTCAAAGAGGTGTGCTATATAGTTCTGTTAAGCCAGAATGATAGTTCCTCACTTTTCAAAATTGTGAACTCCATTTCATCCTGACATCAAGATTGAGCATGTAATCTATATTAAAATAAACATATTTCTCTTCAAACTTTACAGAAATACTTGACTGTCAAAAGACAATATAGTAAGACTGCTCCTCTCATGGTGGGATAAACTCATCCAGAGAACATTGTGGAGAAGCATTTAGATTAGGATGGCAATGTCCAGCCTAGTTAGAGTTCAAATACTTCTTTTAGTAAACTATTGCATTCTTCTTTCTACAGAGATATATTTGTAAAAGATAGTTTTCAAACAGTGCAAACATCCCTTGTTCTTTTTTCCTTAATGATTTGGAAGAATAAATTGGTTATGTATATAGGCTAAGTATGTTTTCTTATCATGTATTATTTTAAACATTAATTATCCTTTAGTTATTTACTTAGCTTTATTACTTCCAGGACTGATTTCTTCTAAAAAAAACAAAAAACAAACACAAGTAACAAGTGTTAATTTGGATCATTTTGGAAATGACCTAAAAGTCATTTAAAATATTCTGAGTATGTTTTACACATCACATGGAACTGCTCAGGAAGTCTTCATAGTTAACTAATGACCCATCCTCTTTGGATGTACAAAAAACAGTCAGGTGAATTTGGAGGTCTTGTCTTTGTAAATCTTATTTTTACTATCTCTGGCCTAACTACAACTTCAAGAAAAAACCCAACCCAGAAAACCTTATTACCCTAGATTTTTACAGTAGGAATTAAAGGTAGGTGTGGATGCAGACCTTTAATGAATGACCTCTTCAGAGGGCAACCCAGAGGAAACCAGCTACAAGGTGGAAACCAGCTAGCAAGTCTTCAAGTTTGAAGGGTGATTGTATTTTTTTGTTGTTGCCACTAGCTTATTAATCTTTTTAAGATTTTGAAGGTAAATTATTATTATTATTATTTTAAGCCTCACCCACTGATATTTTTTCCCCATTGCTTTTCAGAGAGACTGGAAAGGAGAGAGAAAAAGAAACATCAGTGTGAGAGACACATCAATTGGTTGCCTCCTGAATGCACCCCGACCAGGGCCGGAGATGAGCCTGCAGGAGAGGTAAGTGCCCTTGGCTGGAATCGAACCTGGGACCCTTCAGTCCACAGGCTGAAGCTCTAACCACTGAGCAAACTGGCTAGGCAAAAGGAAATGATTTTTAAAAAGCAGTTGACAAAACAGTCAAATGGCATAAAGAGAACTAGCTGGTGAGGGTCATGAAATACTGAACTGTGTATCTGAAGGTGACTGCACTACTAGCTACTGGGGAGACCTTAAAAGGAGAATCAATGTCCTTTTAATAATGGCATTAATCATGGTAGAGCAATACAGGGGTGGTTTTTCAGAAGGCAGGGAAATGTAGCAACTGCTCGGGGTTTCCTCAAGTTTGAAATTCTATGACAAATGAATCTCTTTTCCTTAAAACTCTTCAAACAAGGCTCAAGGCCCAGGGTTTCCTACTTATTAACAAACAGGCTCACAAAAATTTATTTGGTTACTTCTAACAATGGTTAGCAAACTTACACGAGGCAGAAGCCTGGAAATTGTTCTCAAGTTAGGGGTCAGGCCCTGTACATGCCATTTTCTGAACCTCAAGTTGCTGTGTGAACTTCATTCAGCAGAACCATCAACGTTTCCAAATAAAGAAAGCGCTGTTCTCCAATTTCTCGACACAGGTACCATTTACTTTAAACCCTCGAAGCCTGACAAATAGGGAGTGCTTGGTCCTGCTTTATGGGTTGGCAGTGTTTGCTGTGCAGGTAGAATACGTGCAGGTAGAATTCATACTGTGCTAAATCATGGCATTCTGAAGAATGCGGGGTTTTGCAAAAGGCCATATCTCAAAGAAGTTACTACTTCAAATAAATGTGCCATTCTATAAAATTACACCTACTATATCAGAAAAAATGTTCTTTCGTGTGAGTGACATTTACGAGACTGCCATTTACAGGGACTGGGACATTCTCACACTGCGAGGCTGAGGAATGGTTTTGAAAGCTGCTGAGAGCATTCTCTGAATGATAAATGTGATTGAAGTCTAAGATACTTGTATGGGAAGAGACCCTCTCCATAACTGGGGAGTTTCTGCATTTTTAGGACGAGAGGAATTACTCGGTCATACCTATAGCATTAACAAGGTTGTCAAATTATTTCAAGCCTGCAAGCATCTTTAGTCATGCATTTTCAGCTTGTTAGAGCTGGACGTAGTGTATCATCTGGTCCAACAAGCTCCTATTTTACATATGTGGAAACTGAGGCTGAAGTGTTGAGCTTCTAGTTAGAACTAGTAACAGAATTCTCCAACCCGCTTCCCACTCTTCCATCCAATTCACTTTCCGTTAGACCAGCCCTCTTTTAAAGAAAGTTCCCGAATTACCATCCAGAGAAAAAACTACTTTCTTGTACATTTCAAATAATATTTCTCGGGAAAAGCAATCTCCAAACTATAGAAGGAAATTTAAAACAAGATCAAGGGTGGAAGTGGCTGCATATCTCTGGACAGATTTCAGCTCCTGATCAGGAGGTGACCTGAGACCTGCGTCTGCAGAGATTTGCCAAAACCACAGTCTTCCAGGCTCCCTTCTGATGGGCGCCCAAGATTGCTCTTTTCTAGAAGTAAGGTACAGAGAGGAATTCAGATCGGTCTTCTCTGCACCCGGATGTAGAGATAAGCCACAAAAAGCTAGGAAGCTAGAAGCCTGCTGAATTGCTTAACAGATTGTGCGACGCTCTTGGTGGCCTTTCCCGGAGAGGGGTGCGGGGATGCGCTGGGAGGTTTGCCAGCATCATCTCCTGTGGGGACCAGCCTGGGGAGTGGGGTCCTGAAAGGAGGGGCTCCAGGTTGGCTGAAGCAGATAAGGGAGGCGGGCCCTGTGGCGAAAGGTACGAGGCAAAGAGCCAGAAACGTGACCCACCTGCGGGAGGGGCGCCGCCGAGCTGCTCCGGCCAAGGTCTAGTGCAGCCGCCGCTGGGCGCGCAGCGGCCGGGCTGGGAGGAAGCGCCGTGCGCTCGGCTCGGCTCGGCTCGGCTGGGCTCGCGGTCCTCAGCTCTCCCCGGTATAAGAAGGCAGACAGGGGAGGGAGGGCCCGCTAGATTTCGCAAGAGAAACGGCGAAGAAAGCACTTCCTGGAAGAGTCAAGCTGGGAATCCTTGGGCGGCTGGAAAGACCAGAACTTCCCGTTCTGCCACTGCAGCTTTTGCTACAGATGTTGCTGCTGATCTCCTGCCAGTGACATTTGGAAGGGTTTTCCCCATAGCCCTGGGGATCTGTGCATCCCAGGCAGATTGAGGCTTGGAGAGGCTGAGGAGCACCCCTGTAGGAAGGGCCTCTTTGAGCGGCTGAGAAAACTCCACCTGGTCTCGGCTTCTAGGTATTGCTCTTCTTGCCACCTTGCCTCAGTTCACTGTAAAAGGTAACATCTTTCCCCTCTGCCTGGAAGCTCTGGGTTCTTATGGGGCTCAGCTTGGATGACCTTGAGGTTTTAATTTATGTAGATTAAGTTACTCAGAAGAAACAAGCCAAACGAAAGAGAGGGATGATGGTACCTTATTGTTGCTATATTATCTATAACTATATAAGATTGCATACTTGGATTGCTATGTCTTTCTATATTGGAGGAGCTCAAAGCCACAGCTAGGTGGTTCATAATTTAACCAGTAATGACAACCTAGGAGGCAAAGCAACCCTGCACTCCCAAACTCTATGGTCTAGAGCCCAGAGTCCTCCCAATCTGCCTTTCACCCAACCATCTGGTCTCATGTTCCATGGCACACTTGCCAAGGTCCAGATGTTGAGCCTCATGGGAGGCCTGTTCCCAGTATTTTTGAGTCAACTTTTCCTTTGCCTGGATTGTAATTCTCCCCAAAGTATCTTGCAAAGTCAGCTCAGATCCCATGTCTTGCAAGAAGTATTCTCTGAGCCACTAGTTGCGATTAATCTTTCCTTTTTCCATATAGCGTAGTTTATGCTTCTGATACAGCAATAGGACAAATAGCCTCTAAAAAGAGTTATTGTATATGTATTTCCTCTCCTGGACTACAATTTCTGAGGGTGGAAACCCTGTTATTTTCAGGCTGGAATTTACCACACCTAGCACAATGCTCAATATTTATTACACTCATGGACAAGTCTACTGCCTATTATTATGGTATAGCTTACCAAAAGGTCATCTGATAGCATTTGTTGGGCAAGGAAGAACTTAAAAGGTATTCGATGATTTTATAGCACCAATTTTCCTAGTTTGAAGACTGACAAGGTGAGACAAGGGTGAGTAACTAGGAAATAAGGCCTCTGATGTCCCTAAGAAGCCTATGGTTGGTTAGCATAGCTTTGTGACTACCCCTGGTCTAGCATCTGGCTCTAAGCCTTGTGGGCACAGAAACTAGATTCTCAGCACACTGAACCTGATATTTAAAACTGGGATGTCAATTTGTTAGTTGTCAATGGAATATAAACAAATAGTTACTGTGAAACTACAGCACCAGACGTTCTAGTCACCATATTCTCTCCTTGTAGGCACATCCTGTGAAAGCCATTTTGTGCAAAAGGCTGGTCCCTAAACAGGGAGTGAGTTATAAGATTCTCAGGTTGCTGGCGTCACATCATGATGATATATGTGCCACCAGATGTAGACAGCTGGAGTCTATGGACCAAGGTCACTCTGGTTTCTGGGTTGTGTTTGCATCTATTATAGGGTGACTTAATGGAATAATCATATTTGCAAATGTAGTTTCCAACTAATAATAGAATCATTACTTTATATACATGTCATTATCATTGTTAGGTGGACAAAATATTTTACAATCTTATTATTATGAGAGGTAGGTATATTTCAGTTATGTAGTTGCCAAAGGCAACTAAAGTCCCAAAAAGGGAAGATTAAGTTACTGGAATATGAAGGCTAGAAAAGATTTTCTTTATTAGTACCAAACTTAAGATGTATTTGAACTTATTTATCTTGTGACTTGAAGGTTGATTTTTCCCTTGGTAGTAGGCAGGACACACAATTTATAACTCTCCTAGTCTTTCCTTAAATTCTTGCTGTAGGGGAAAATTAAGCTTTCAAAGATGTCGGCAACCCAAATACCCAAAACTTGCCATGGCAGTGTTCACCCTTCTCCCTAAGGCCTTGACAGAACTCTGGATAATCCTTCCCAGATGTTGCACAGCAGCAAAGAATTCTTGTTTAGAGATTTCCACATTTTCTGTGCTTGAGTCTTTCCTGCTATATCCTCGCTTGCCAGCCTGCTACCTTAATTTCTCCACATGGCAGAACTTAGGAAAATTGATAAAGTAGGCTTAGAGCCAGTGTCCATCATGTGTTATTAAATGATTGAATAAAAGTATGCCTTTAACACCGTGTATCTCCTTTTCTATGCCATTTTTCTCCTTCTATGCCATTTTTCTGTTCTGTCCAGTCTCAGGCTTTGGCTACTCTTCCCTCTTCTCCAAGGCTTCTTCTTCCAGTGCATCACAAGTTATTCTGGGGTGGGGCTTTCAACTGGTGCTGTGCCTGGATGGAGGTGATTGGCTTAATAGTCTCTAATCAACATGTATATGGAAGGTCTTTACATATTTGCCCTCTAGCTGATGGAGAAAAAATTTAAAAATTGAAGGACTCCTGGAGATGTGTCTGTCTAACCCAAAGAAATGTATCTGTAATGGTGGGGATTTCAGGTACTGTAGAAGAAATTTCTGAATATGAGTATAATGAATATTTTGTCTTTTGCTTGCCTAACATCCTGGGCCAGGACTAGGACTGAGTGAGGAGCCTAGGGTACAAAATTTGAGGAGGGGCTCACTCTCAAAATTGACCCTACATGGACCAGAAAATGAGTGTCTTTACATATTGCCCCCTTGGGGCTTCCCTGACCTCCTCTTGTCCTAACCTTGCAGAATCCATTTCCCTTTCTCTTAATCACATCATCATTTTCCTTTGAGAAAAACCCTTGCACAACCTCAGTCCTTGTGGTCCAGGTGGTAGTGACAGCACTGCCAGGGTTTCAGGAATAGACCCATGTCTTAGGCCTGACCAATCAAAGCACACAGCCTTGCTCACAGTGATTGTTCAGTGATGACATGTGACCTAAGCAGGGCCAACAGAAATCTTTCCTGGAACAACCCAGAAAGAAGCACACTCTTTAGGGAGGGTTGTTGAGTTGCTAGAATGTAAACCTGCTGTGAGGAGAGAACCAACCTGAGAAAGAAGCCACTTTCAGAGAAAGGAGAGCAAAGAGAAGGGAAGACAGAGTTTTCTAAAACTGTTGGATCTCCTTGCTGGTAGACTTGGAAATTTAATTTCTTGTCCCAGAAAACTTTGTTATCTACTTCTTTTCTACTCTATGGGAAATGAGCTAAAAAGAATCCCCCCGCACCTGCAGAACTGTGGAACTGCAAAAGGTATAGTAAAAAAACCCAGGCCATTAACCTGGTTTTACCCAATTTCTAGGATTCCTGCCAACACAGAACAGGAAGCAAAACCAAACAACATTTTACCACCCACCTGTACCCAAAAAAAGTCCTGATGGGAAATTAGGCCAGACGCTGGCAGTATTGGGAACTGGATTAGGTGGTGATGTCAGGACCGACAATAAAGAATTTAAAAATAAGACTTGCCTTAAAGAACCGAACTCTGTCACTAGAAACTCAAGAGAAGGTTAAAGTGGAAGAGTTGAGTGTATGTGAGATGAGTGAATAATAATTTTAAAAAGTCACTGACTAGAGGAGAGAGGCAGCTACTTCTGGGAAATGGAAATGAGCAAATAATCCCTATCTTCCTCTTTATCTTATCTCTGACTCTCTTTGTTAATTTTGGAAACTATTTTTTTTTCTACTCCTGGGGCACTGGCGGGACTTTGGATAGGCTGACTACACCACCAGAAACCTGGATGCGGCCCAAGACACACCTGCGACCTCAAAGGAGGTCACTTAGCTGTGATGTTATCAAAGAACATGGTGTTCAAAATAGTTGGAAGAGATGAAGAAACATTTTAGTTAAGTTGATTCAGCCGTGGGTGATAGTTACTGGAGGTATAATCGGTAAAGGCAATTTCATCATCCTGTCAATCTGTGCCTGCTGCCAGTAAAGGAAGGTTAGTTGGATTTTCATATACAAAGGAGGAGACGAAAAAAAATTAGAGTGAATGTAGCTTTATCCATTGGCCTGTTCACCCTCCAGCAGAATTAGAAATGAGGTCTAGGAAGTAAACAAAAAAATAAGAATAATGAAAGTATTAGGCCATTATTTTCTGCATATTTTTGACTGTAAAGATCAATTACTTGTTATTTTTCTGCCTTAAAGATAACTGTTAAATTTTTCCTCTCATATTGGTAGGGAAATACCAAATATAGATGATTTCTTTTATATTCACAAATTATTTGCCAAATAATTGATTTAACAACTACAGATTGTTTTAGGTTATGTAAAACTTCATTGTAAAGAATTAAGTAAAATATTTGAAAAATTGATGCACAGGTACAAAATTCAAGATATGAAGGGAATACATTTAAAAGCATTTTCCCCCAGACACTGAGTTCTCCTCCCAGGAAGCAACCATGTTAATTAATGATTAATGGGCTCCTTACATAGGCAGGCTGTGCATATAAAAACATGTATACTTATTCTTAAAAAATACAAGTGGGAGGTAGTAAAGGGTGTCAAATGTATGATGATAGAAATAGATTTGACTTTGGGTGGTGAACAGCACAATGCAGTATACAGATGGTGTATTATATAATTGTACACTGGAAATCTACATAATTTTATTAACCAATGTCACTCCAATAAATTTAATGTAAAGAAAGAACTTAAGTCTCCTCCCCCCTGAAAATACAAGTGGCAGCCTACTAGTCACATTTTTCTGCATCTCTCTTTTTCATGTAAGAGTGTAACTTTGAGAGCATTCAGAATAGAGCAGTGGAGGCAGTCCTGTTTAAAAT